TCACCTAAGTGCCTTAAATACCCATCTGTGCCAGGCTAAAACTGTATCCTCAATGGACAGTGGCCCACAGGTTACCTTGTGTTGGTGCCTACCAACTTCTGTTGAGCCAAATCTAAACTTGTATTACCTGTTCTGCAAATTGTATACTTTCTCCAGGGGCCTAAAAGAGAGGCCTTACACCGTCTAATAAAAGAAGATAACTTATAATACAACCCTCCCCCTGTTAACACATTCATTCATTCCTAGCCTATGCTAGGCACTGTGGTTGAGGCTGAATCACACAGAGAAATAAGGCTGGAACACCCTCAGCGCACAGCCCCACAACTGCGAGCTTGCTTTCGTCTCCTTTATTTCAGTCTCCGAGGAAGAAGTGTCTGTTTAGCTTGAAGCTAAAGTCTCCTTTCCTGCTGATCTTTTCTCTTCATCTTCTTGGAAAGTAGTTACTCTCTATTCTTTTGGTTTTTAACTGTCCCTATGTGTTTTCCTCAACCTATATACATCTCCATGTCACTGTCCTTCATATCTTAGCATCTTGAAAGATTAATCTGGTTTTCCTCTTAGTATCCTTACTACCCACTCAGGCTTCAACTTGCTTCAAGTTAGGCTTTCCACTGCCATTCCCTACCTCCCAGATCCCACTGGAAGTGCTCTCCATAAGCTCACAAGGTAACTGATGTTCAAAAGCAATGGATATTTTTTGGCCTTTATCTTACTATTGACCACTCTCTGTCTCTGTGCTACCATACACTCCTAGATTTCTTCTGACCTTTCTTTTCAGTCTTACTTGACAACTGTCTTTGCCCACACTTAATTGCCAGTGTTCCCTAGAGTTCTTATCTGGCCCCTGTTCTCACTTTACATTGCTTCCTGAGTGATCTCATCCTCTCCCTTGGCTTCTGCTTCAGCCTGTTTGCTGGAGATTCCAAAATCTGTGTATCTCTTAATAAACTCTTAAAATAATCATAGCCCTCTGTTTCTGGTCAGGTTTTCTTCAGTCTGTCTTTCACCTGGCTAACAGAGGGAGTCTTCTAAAATACAGTCTTGTCATTACCACCTTGTAAAGCTTTCAGTGACTCCCTGACACCTGGTAAAATCCAAATTTTATTAGATACCTTCATGGCCTGCCTCTCTATTCTAAATTCATTTTACTATTATATACTTTCTGCTTAGTCATGCTAATTTTTTTTATTCTTGCCAGATTATACTGTACCATTTCTTGGCATTATCTCCACAACTTGGCAGTTACTGTTCCCTTTGCATGGAATATCTTTGTTAGCATGGTGAGCTTTATTTATCTTTGAAGATCAGCTTAAGTATCTTCTCTGTGAAGACTTGTCTGATCATGGAGGCAGAGTTAATCATTCTGTCTTCCTTGTACCATTTTTACTTACGTCTGTTTTTAGTGCTTTTGACATTTGCTATGTTCTCACCCTCAGTTAATGTCTAGAATGCAAGTTCAACAAATTGAGTTTCATTAGGTCAGAGATCATGTCTTCTTCATCTTTGGATACCTAGTTTTAACAAAGTACCTTACAAATGGTTATAAAAAAGTAAACATTTCTGCTGTCTGAATGCAGTGTAGTGAATATATGGTCTTGTGGATCTCTCCATATAAAGGAATGATCAGTACACTGTAAGAGAGGAATGTGCCAGGTGTTGTGATAGCCTGAAGGAGGGAATGATTGGGTAGTGGTGGATACAGTCAGAGAAAGTCTTCACAGAAAAATGGGAAACAGCCCTGGTATTTATAAGAAAGAGACTAGTTCAAGATGTGAAGAATCCACAATGTGCAGGAATAATAAGAGGTAAGCTTGGAAAAGGCAGCAGAGACCAGAAAATGAAGCATCCTTAGCCTTCATGGCAGATCTTAAAGGTTTTATCCAGGAATGTGATAACACCATATTTTTGCTTTACAAAGATCTATGAGGCAGTTGTATGAAACAAGGAATAGAAGGATGTGAGGCTGGAAATAGGGAGAGTACTAGTTAGAGGAGGCTGCTAGTGTAAAATTTCTAAAAGTTGCACTATTTGGAAGGAAAAGGATTAAAGCCTTCTCTACATAACAGAAAAAGGGGAATGGTCTCTGGGTAGAATCTGGCTCTGCCATTCTTCCTCCTTGGTAAACAGCAGAACCCCTTATTGTTTTCATGATAGAGAGTGATAAAACCCACATTTGTGTAAGCAGTGATATTTTTACCAGCAGTGCACATCTAACTGTAGTGTGCTTCTATGGTTGTTTCCCTCTGTTCATGGTGCCCTCCAGCATCTTGATAAAATAATGGTGCAATATTTTTTCTAACTTTCTGACTGAATGCTGATTTGTATCATTTCTATAGCAGTTTTACCTAACTGCATGGTTGATTACTGGGACAGAAAAATAAATATTTTTGTATTCTTTTTGTTTTTAAGGGCCACCCAGAAAACCTTTCCTTGCCTTAGCAACTCACTTTAACATCCAGATTCAGTCCATTTTCCTTTTACTACCTTCCCAATACTGACAGGATATTGTACAGTATATTTGAAAATAGCTTAAAAAGTAGCTCAAAACACTCTGCCAAATAATGTCAATCAGAACTTCACAAAGAAAATGTTTCTCACTGTGAAGATTTCGTAGTCCATTTGTCTCCCTACCCCAACCCCCATTTTTTAAGTATTTTATCCTATTAACAGAAGCTCATTTGATTTTAGAACTATTGGCTATAGCCTTACCTGTTTTGAAGGCAAGATGTGTCTTAAATAGCCTTTGTAACCCAAACTGTCAGAGTTGACACATTTGTTCCCATAAATGGACTTACTGCATTATTTTCATAAAAGTGCCAGGTGTTTTTTACTATTAACTAGCTTCCAGGAGGATTGTCTCCTTAAGAAAGTATATTATTTAATGTTCTGTTTACTTCTTTTTAACCTATTTTGGCCTTTTATAAACTCTGCATTCTTAAACTATTTTAATGTTAAGCCATTGTACGTGGTTCTTTATATTTTATGTCTTTTTTATTGTTATTTTTTAAGTATATGCATGTCTCAACTTACGCTTTTACAATTTTAGTGATTTTTTTTTCCTGGAACTACTAAATCTCTTTGTTAAAAAAAAAATAAGCCTTATCAAAAGTGCTTACAATGGGAGTATCAGTGCCATGTGGGTTCAGAGTTAGGATCCTTCGCCTCACTGACTTTGTGTCTGACCAAGTCATTACAGTCCTGTCTGACCTCCATGAGTATTAAGAATATCTGTATGTACTGGATATTCACCTCCCTAATTATCCATTAAGAATTCATTAATTTATCTAAACCATTCCAGTCTTGCAGAGGCACTGAGAGCAAGAGGGAGCATATTCAGATTTATTCCAAGGGCTTTCAAATTATACCACCATGATCCCTCATTAAATTCTAATATGATTCTATCTAGCATCTACTGAGATTTATTACCAAAGAGACAACAATTACCAATAGGTTTTAAGGTAGAAGATGGTTGAAAGAGAATAAACTTTAACCTACTTATATTATTAATCCATGTTTCCTTTTGCACAGATGTCACCAGTCTGCTATATCCTTTGAAAGTAGGACTTCCTTTTATTTGTCCCTAAAGTACCTATTTTCAGTGTCAAGGAAGGTACCCTCTAGTTCAAGTACTTGAAAATTTAATGAACAATTCTCTCCTGGACTATTCATCCTATCCATGCCTTTGATGATTTCATACTCTGATCATCTATATCGCTTTTTCTTACCCCCCCTATTTCCCTATCTGCTGCCCCTTTCAGACCCTAAAGTCATTTTAATTGCCCTTCTCTGAATCTTCTCCAGCTTTATTTTGTCTCTTTTGAGTTAAGTGGTCTGAATTACAGTAGTATTTCACATGTAGGTTTTACTAAAGCTTTATACGTGATTAAAATAGTGTTAGGTTTGTTTCCTATAGTTGTCTTTAAGATTACATTTTATTGAAAGCCTTAAAATTTTTATCTTTAGATTGAATATTTTAGTGTTTACCTTGAAACTGTACCTGAAGAAAAGAAAGTGCTCTTAAATAAAGCTAACAATTGTTTAGTATCTTCCTTAAAGGTTCTTATAAATCACACACAAAGAATTCCTACAGTTCAGGGTTCCCCTGCAAAAGTTTTATGTGTCCACTTATCTTAGAGTTATCACCTTGCACTGATGACAAGGTAATACTGACCTGCACCAAATGGTTCATTGGGCTGTTGCTGTTGTTTACTAAGAGAAGCCTAACACACTCAGTTTACCTAATATCATCAGGGGAAAAAGAAAGAGTATTTACTCTGTGCCAGATAGTTTTCTAAGTGCTTTGCATGTATTAACCTGTGAAGTAGATTATTATTTCAATTCTCCAGACTAGAAAAAGTGGGGTACAGTGCTATAAGATAACTTCTCCAAGTCAACCAGCCTAGTAAGTGGTAGAGCCATTAATAAAATCTAGCCAGTCTAACTCCTGGACCTACCTTCTCAGTGGGTATCATGCGCTTATGTACTGTTGCTTACTTTTTTAGAAAAGTAACTTAGCTATCCTTTTTGTAAACATCCTTAAGTTTTGTGATCTCTGGTACTCTTTCCCTGTCATTCCTTTAAAGGGTACAAGAAAGATTTTAGATAATGACAGTGTTGGTAAAATTCCAGTCTGGGTTTCATTAATTCTAGTTTCTAGTCATCCTTTCTCTAAAACTGAATGAAAAGCTTTGTGACCAGAAACCTAAAATACCACCCTTACCAATGACCCTGTGGTCACAGAGGCTCCATTCCTGCCACAAAGTATATTCCAAACAGTTCTGCTTGAATTTCTGACACCTGAAAAAAGGCTTTTGGTCCTCAGAGCATGTAGGAGAATTTGTAGGTAGTTCAGTATAACCTCTACCACACTTTGAAAACCTCTCAATTTTAAGGTTTACTGCTGTGGTATATATCTCCAAACTTCCCTGTACTGGTGAATAGTTGGTTATGACAGTGAGCACCCAAGGATTCCTGTCTAAAAACCTCTTCTGTTTTTGCAGTGGATAGCCTGCTGAAATACACTGGCTATGGGAATGCTGCAGGACTGTTGGCGGCCAGGGGCCTCTTGGCTGGAGGAAGAGGAGATAATTGGTACTCAGAGGACGAGGACACAGACACTGAAGAATACAAAAATGCAAAACCAAAGTATAGTATCAAGTTTCTTTTCACCTAACTATGTCTGTGCCTTTGATTTGGTTATTTGCCTTTCACTTCTTTCGTCTCTCATTTTTCAAGTGTTTCTTTTCTTTTGTGGATTTGGAAGCTTTCCATTTAATAGTGTTTTTAGAGGCAATTTCATAGCTAGTGGCTTAAAGAGTGACTTCAAGTGATTGAGGAAGGATAATATTGTGAGAAATATTCTGCTGCATGCTCATTATCCTCTCCTAAGTATTTGGAAAAATGGTATTTTTAGATGTATACCATCATATACTTAAAAAGTATTATTGCCCACTTTTTGCTTTCTTTTCCATAAGGCTGAGATTTTATAAGGTATAACCGAGATCAAGTATTTAAGTTGGTTATTTGATGCTTCATTCTTTCTCAGAAATCTAAACATAGGTTCCATAAATTCTGATCTTCCCTCTTCCATAAAAGCCATATGAGTCAATAAAATGGTACATTACTAGCAAAAGGAAAGAAGTGTAGCTCCACAGTAAATTTTAATCAAAATTATTACTTGGGTAATAATCTTTTAACAGATGTATTATTGCACTGAGTAGGCTAACCGGAGACTCTATCAAGTCTTCCCTGAATCAGTGCTTAGAAATCAAAGACTAATTCTTCTCTTATCCCAACACAGACCACCTCTACTTTCTTCTGTTTCCTCCCCATCCTTTTTTTCCCCTTCTTAACCCCCCATCCCAGGTCAATTTCTTAGTTCCACTTATTAGAAGTTATCTGAGCTCAATTTTCTGGTTTCCGTTACTGAATGTTCAAAGGGTATGCCCTTTCCTTTTGGCATTATCGATGATGTTGACATGATAGGTTTTCTACTGGCAGTTTCTAGAATGTAATGAGGAACATGTGGTAGTTGATAAAGGATAGAAAATCATCTGCAAAATTAGGCTTTTTTAAATAAAATTTTGTATCCTTTTTTCTCTTATTAACATGGTTAAAATAGGCTTTTTTTTAAAAAGGATAGATTGTGCCCTGTTAACATGAAAGTACTAGGTTATCAGAAGGTAAAAGCAAAGATCATTCCTTAATTACACAAGACTTATATGGCCTGTATTCCTTGGCAAATCAGGCTGGGTAGGTAGCATCACTTTTAGTATCTCCAGTTCAGCCTCAGCAGGATCCTGTAGAGTGTGTCCTAGAAAAAAAAGACTTTTGGGGAAAAAAGCTAGCAGTGACTCTAAGCAGTACATTCTTAAGACTGCCACCATTTAGATGTTATAAATTGAGCATCTCTATCATGTAATTGAAGCTTAGATAGAGGAATCATACTTTAACCTTTCCCTAATTATAGAAGTCACCATTCTAAATTAGTCTTGCTAGCTCTTGATTTTTCTATTCCATAAACTATATTTTCATATCAGTTTAATATTTTATCTCTCTCCATTTGAGAAATTAAAGTATACCACTTGAGGTATACTTTCATATTTTTAAATGGAAGTAGAAATTATATTAGGCATATATTGTGTCCCAAGTTATGTGGACAAGTCAACTAAGATTTAAAAAAAGCTCTTAAATACTTACGGATAGTTGATGTCATTATATCTCAGTGTGTATTGTTGATTTCGTTTGGTAGATGATTTCTACCAGTGGTAATGATCACATATCTTACAAGCACCAGAATGCTACTATAACAAGAAATTGCTTGGAGAAAATATAAGAATGCTGGGTCTCTCCTAGTAGAATGGGAAACAGAAATGTGTTAGATTATGAAAGTGAGGTTAGATTTCAGGAGAGCACCTTTTGTTTAAATCAAGGACCATGATGTTTGGTATTGTTACTGTCTTGGCTAGGAAGATTCTATACTTAGACCTTATTACATCCCTAGTTGGAATCTTCTTCAGCCTTTGGACCTGGCCTATACTGTTCATAGGAATGGAGTGTTAGTGTGGTCAGAATAGTCACCGTTGTGAAACCTTGTTGTGTTTCTTAAACATTGTTCATGACAAGTATAAATATGTGTTTCTCACATAGCATTACATCTTTCCCCTTCAGATAGATTTGCATCTGTTTTTTTCTTACATCTTCCCTCTTTCAGGTGAAACACTCTAGTGGGATGTTTGTTAATTTAAAATACTTATTCATGGGGTGCCTGGCTGGCTCAGTTGGTGGAGCATTTGACTCTTGATCTCAGGGTTGCGAGTTGAGGCCCCACGTTAGATGTGGAGCCTACTTAAAAAAAAAAAAATGCTTATTCAAATGGTCCTTGTGGAAGTGGTGGTAAACAAAGTACTTTGTAAGCAAGAGAACCCTTTGTGCTTTGGGGAGTTATCTGTAGCTCTCAAAGAACTTTTTCCCTAAAAATTATGAAAACTTTTTACCAGTCTAGTCCAGCTTATAAACTCAGCCTCTGAAAGGATTGCTTTCTCCCCTACCCTCTGATTACTCTTCACCAATCCGTGTTCTCAAGATCACGGTATGCTTTTCGTATGATGCATTTATTCACAACAGTTGCTAGTATTGGCAGAAGCAGAGAAAATGCCCTTTATCCAGTTGGCCCTAGTCCTGTTGTCAAAAATGTAAGTGGATTCTGATTGATGCACCAAGGTAACCTATAATCCTTTAGTGGAATCTGAAACCAACAATTGTGTGGAGCTTACGTTCAGGCTATGGGAGACTTAATTTCACAACCATCTTTTTTGTGTCAAAGTAAGTGTATTTAATGGACTGGAAATGGCTTTCTGCAATTAGCAGAAATATACTCATAGAATCAAGTTACATGCCACACAGGTTTTTGGTGTAAGTCTAGCCATGTTTGTTAAGTTTTCAGATAAACTTTGGTCCTGTATCAGAAAGAGAAATGTCTAAATTCTAACTTTTATACCAATTTTGTTGTGCCTCTGAGCATGGAGGCCCCTTGCCTACACAGGTGGTATAGTGTAACTAATATGGTTTTGTACATCATTCCAAACATCAGTTGAAAGATGTGTGCCTAATGACATTTGGCTCATTTTAGACCAGTGGCTTTCAGGCTGGGTATATAAGAGCCTAGGGGTTCAAAGAGGTATCTTTAAAGGTCTGCTAAATGGAGGGCAGAAGGAGGGGATGGCCAAGGTGGGCAGAACTCTAGGATACCTCCTTATACTCTTAATACCCTACACTAGTTCATAATCACATACAGAAGCTTAGAATCATTGTACTAAGCAACTCAGAGGTGTTTCCTTCTTGGCTATATTTCTCTCAGGAGTAGCTGTGGCAACAGCTGTATAATTTCTCCAGCATGAGACAAGAGACTTTCTTTGTCAAGATTTTGTTTTGTTGCTTTAACTCCCATTGTAATTGTCACCATTATTGAAGCTATGCCAAAAAATCTGTATTTTTATATTTCTTGAATTAAATGAACAAGGAAATAGTAAATTTCCACTCTGTTCTTTTTATTGTTTTGTTAGGGGGCAAGTATTCTGGGGAGTTTTTCCTGGAAAGACATTTCTAGCCTTATTTGCATAGAACCTCTCCTTTCCCACCCCCCCACCCCATCCTGGCTCTGGGCTCACAAATACCTTTTCCTGAAAACCCTGATCCTTTCCTAGAGGTTGCAAATTGTCTCACAGTTAGGTTCTGTACTTGATGTTGCATTCATTGGTTATTTAGTTTTGTGTTTTTATTTTGTTTTACATAGTACTTCCCAATTACTTGCCAACATTTAGAATTCAGATATTTCAGATGGAAATTTGGATTTCTAACTTCTTTTGAATAAGTTCTAATAACATTAAGCCTGCATTTTCACATGGCAGGCAACTGGCTGATGGAGTTGAGTGGCGGTGGTCCCCATCATACCAGGCATAAGCTCCTCTGGTTTAACAGTGGATCCTTTTCATTCATCTTACCTGCTTAGCCTCTGTATAGATTTGCCCTTATAGCCAACTCTTCTTTAACCAGAATGCTTTGAGTAAAATTTAATCCCCACTTTTTAGAGATTGAAGTTAACTTTAATATAGCTCAGGGAAATCTTAATAGCTTTTTTGTTAAGTGACCTGGTACTGTTGATGTTGGGCAAATATAGCAACAATTTGAAAAGCAAAAGTCTTGAAATATATTTCAGCTTTTACATATATATTCATATGCCCATACCTTTTTATGTCTTAATCCCTTCATCACCAGGCCCATAACTGTGGTCAGTTCATGTAATGACCTTATATAATACAAAATGCTCGATGATACACTAACAAATGAGTTTAAATAATTCTTGTCACCTAACTGAAAGACATATATAATCATAGAATTGGAGTGCTGGAAAGATGGGGTAGGGGAACAGATAGGGTGAGACAAAATCATACCATAAAATTACCCAGTATAGTATCCGCCACAATTAGTGTACCTAAAGCATCTTAAGACTCAGAGTCTTAAAAACTTACTTTGGGTAAGTTTTGGCTCACTTAAACTTAACCCCAGAATTTCAGAGTCTTAAACTAACCCCAGAATTTCAGTGTTAAGATCCTGAAACCTAGAAAGTTAAGTCTTAGACTATACTATTTGAGGTTCTATAAAGGTGGCAAGTGATTGGTCAACTGAAAATAATCTACTTTATGAAACCTCACATCATTGTTACAGTGACTTACTTGTTTCCTCTTCCTTTCTGGGTAGGGAAACCACAGGAGTCTGGTTTGAAGTGGGGAGCAGGAGGGGAGACAATTTCCAAGTCTGCCTCCTGACCCCAAGCACATTGGCATTTTTCCTATGAGTGGCACAGTTCAGTGCCCCAACTTGTGTTTTCTGTGATATTGTGTACATTCTTCTGCATACTGGGGGCGGGGGGTATTGCATGAGTAAAGGATGGTAAATTCTTACTCTGTAAGAATGAATTTCTGCCTACTGCTTTTATGCTCAGTGAGCAAAGGATTTTGTGACTTTAGTAGCTAATTTCGGAGCAAGTCATTAAATCATTTTGGCAGCAGAGGACTTGAGGTCAGCTTGTGGAAAATGGACATCATTTCTATTAAGCCCTTTAAAGAACCAAAGAAAGAATCAAATGTGCCCTGATTCAGAAATTCATGTCCTGACTTTACATTGTGGATACCACAGAGCTTACCAGTGTATCCTCCTGACACATTTTTCCCCCCAAGGCAGATGATGGCTTGTGCTAATGTCATTATATTTTAAAACAGTCTGTGGATCTGATTTCTTAAATCACCCCTCCACTAAACTTGAGAAGAGGCGCCTTCTCTCAAGAGACAAATCGAACATGTTTTACATAGTTAATACGTCTACCTTCCCTTGTACTTTATTCTAAGGCCTGATTTCCTTTGTCTGCTTGGGAAGTAGTATGTGCCTATAATAAGTACCTTTACTAATTTATTTATAAGACTCGTTTTTCGAATTTAGCAGGTGGCAGAAAGTAAACCAGTGAAATGTTCTGTTGTGATAAGCCTAAGCAAATAATAGATGGGTGGTGGAATTACATTTTCAGTGTGGCATCTGGATACATCTTAAAAATGCTGTAGTTCTCTGAAGCCTTGTCTAGGTTCCATTTGTTCTTGACTTTGGGAACTATGATGACCCCATTTCAGTGTATTTGTTAATGACCACTAACTAGAGGCCTTTTTCTCTTCTATTATGAGCACCTAAAAAACAAAACAAAACAAAAACAAAAAGAGGGAATAGTAGCACACAGTGAGTGTCTGAAGTTGGCACTCTAGCCCTGTGTGGTTCTTAACCTCATTGTTTATCAAAATCACCAGGAAAATAAAATACATAGATTTAGTTGGTCTCAGGTGAGGCCTAAGCCTTTTCTTTAAAGTTTACCAGGTGATTCTAATGTGCAGCCTAAGCTAAGAATGACTGACAAGCCTGTGAGTTTTCAGACTATTTCCCAGAGTTCCTAAAAGTACCTCAGGGGCAAACTTAAGAGGAAGCAAGTAAGTACAAACATAAGGGGCTTTAGGCCTCCACTTTGCTTGACCACCCCATCCCCTCTTCTGCTTGAGCAGTTCCACTTTGTCTATTTTATATATGGGCTTTCTGTGTAGATTTCATTTGTTTAAAAAAAGGCAGGGGGAGGTGGATGGGTCGATCCACTGCTTTGAAGAAAAAAAAAGTTTTTTAATCATGGCTGTAGACGTAGGTCTTAAGCAAGACTGTTAAAACAGATGTTTTAGATCTGGCTTTTGAGGATGCTGAGCACTGAGTCCTACCACAAAAATCTGAATATCATGTACCCCCTGAGGAATGTAGAAAAAGAAAAGGAAATCTTTTAATAATAGATAATAGTACCTAGTAACCTAGCCCTTTTACTACTCAAATGAGAAATCCCTGGTCAGTAAAGAAAGTTAACCTGCCCAAGTCAAAGTCTAAAGCAGGGCTTGCAAGCTAGCCTCCAGAGGACCTATTTGATTACAAGGTCTTTGTTTTGGCCCACAGGATTCTACCTCCTGCCACTTTAGACTGGTACTGTCCTCAAGTTTACTCCAGTCCCCAACACTCCACACTATTTATGGTTGACCAGTTCACTCATTCGCTTATCCTGCAGGCCTGGCCACTGAAAGCATTTGTGTTTGTAGACCCTAGAAAGCAATTTATTAGCAATTTGCTGTTTGTTTTTAATGATCAAATGAAATATCCCTGCAAACTGTCCATACTTGGCTGAAACAAAATGCCGTAACCTCTTGTCTACTTTTCCAGAAAGATGTTTAAGTTATAGATATTTAGCAGCCATTGAAGAATTTTCTTTCATCTCCTTTAAAAAAAAAGTGTGGCTTTCATCTAAGAGGATAGCTTGTTTGGTATTAGAACTTCGTACAAAGTTTATGGGACATACACATTTTAAGTACTTTATTATTTCCAGAAAGTCAGATGGTATACCTGTCTCTTGGTAGGCTAGATTTCATTCTTTTTTTTTTTTATCTAGGTCAGATCAAATCTAATTAAAATTGTTCTTCTGCTTTATCTTTTATTATTTGAACACTCACTGCCTTCTGTGGTCTCACTAATGGACTAATTTCCTGAGATGATAAATCGGCATGCTTTCATTTTCAGATTTCAGCCTCTCTGCCATCATTTTTCCAGTTTTTTTGACACGTGTGTTTTATGCTGTATCACAAAATGGATTTCTCCTACTCTGAAATCATTTGTCCCCTTAAATTAATAAACTATGCATCCAAGGATATTTATCCTAACGGCACCAATCAAATTTCATATTTTTAAAAAGCAGCCATGCCTTTAAAAAAACAAAGTTGGCAAGTCAGCTATTGTTTTTTTTTTTTTAAAGTAAAACTACCACCCATTTCCCAAAGCAAATTAGTAGAAGAAGCAAATTTTTTAAAATTCCTATAGTAATTCTATACTACAAAATTGCTATTATTGCCAATTTTTGGCTATTATACTCTTTCTTATTACAACTTACAACTTGGACCAGAAAGTATAGAAAGAGCATAATTTTAAAACATACAGCATAACTTTTTTTTCTTTTTGTAGCATTAATCTTATCACTGGTCATTTAGAGGAACCAATGCCAAATCCCATAGATGAAATGACAGAAGAACAAAAAGAATATGAAGCCATGAAACTTGTCAACATGCTTGATAAACTTTCCAGGTATTGTATTCCCATCCATTTTCTGCTTGGTTTCTAAAAATGTTCTATTTCTTTGTCTCTCTTACTGAGAGTTATCATGGAACAGCAACTCTGGAAATCCATGTTAATTGGAACAGGGTGGCCCGGGCAGCAGTAGGTCAGATCTCTCTTGGCTACCATGGTTTTTCTACATGTGCCGCTTCTGGATGTGCATTCTTAAACATTTAAACTCTCAAAGCTAGGACAGTAACTACTAGATCACTGTGATATTTAACCAACTAACCTCCCTGTCTTCAAAAAGATGCTATGAGTTAGGTTCAATGATTTTGCTGCTTCTTGTATTTTTTGTTTTAGTCTGTTTTGGTTTTTGTTCCAAATCATTATGCTTTTTTTTTCCCCCCCTCATTTTTGATGTGCAAGTTGGCAATTCTGTCTTTTTGGGTTGCTGCTGATACCAAGAATTCTAAAATGTCATGCACCCAACAGGAAAAAGTGAAAAGGAATAGCTCAAATTAAGGGTTTTCTGAAAGCAAGTGCTTATATTAATTAGGGGTTCTAAAGCCAATCTCCCCTTCCCTTCTTGCTTCACACCGCCTTCCCTTCCGGAAATAGCCAGTCTTGAAAATACTTAAGTCAAATATATACTAATCAGCAACTAGTCATCTTGGAGGGGTTACTAGAAAATATTAATTCCTTTCACACTTGCCTGAATCGCTCTATTTTCTAGTCATACATTGAGTCCCTGTCTCCTTTAAGCCATCTTGAGTGAGTGCTTCTGTGTGTTGGGGCAGCTGCCACTTAAAGGTGTATTTCTTCTGAGCATCTCCTTTTTCACAGCAACTATGTAAAGGCTAGTATCCCTCAGTCAGAAGAATCCAGGGAAAGCCAGAAAGCCAACCATTATAGGGAAGGGTGGTACAAAGAAACAAATAGAGGTTAAGGCACAGCAGGAGGCTGACTGACATGGGGAGTATGACAAGTACAGGGAGACACGGCAGAGTCTGAGCTTTTTTCAAATGATGCTGGGAATGTGGTAGTAGTTATATAGAAATAAACAGCTTCATCATCTAGATCACATCCACAAAGCTAGTATGACTAGAATTTAGTGACTTCCAGCTAGTCCTTTTGAATTTCCATCCTTTCCCAAAGAGGTTAGAATCTACAGCTAACTATGCTCACAATCTTCAAATGACCTTTGTTTGCAAATGACATTCTCCATACCTTCATAGAGAACTGACATGTTCCTTTACCGAAGGAATTACAGTCAAAGAGAAGATACTGTTGGCAAACGTACAGGAAGCAGAATTACAAGCTCTGAATGAATATATAAACGTAAGATTTGTGCTTGGCTACTTCTGAAAGGATCTGATGTAGCTAATGAAACAGTGGTGCAAGTATAAAAGTTAGGATGAGAACCAACAGAGTCCATCTAGTAGAAGCTGGAGAGGGAAGTGTTAATAAGGACCTATGTGGAGCATATCAGTGTGTTAGGACAGTAAACAAGTTTCATAAATTTCACTCCAATAATAGGAGTCCTTAAAAGAGAACACAGATGCTGTTCAACTGCCTATATCCCTGAATGAGTAAACTCCAAACTAGGAAAGTGGGAGATGGGGGAAGGACTGCCTAAAATAATACAGTATAACCCAGGTACTTGACTTACTGAAAGAGATAAGATCATTTCATAAGGCATCCCTATACAAGGGACAGAAAACGGTGCTAGGACCTTCTTTTAATCCCAGGGGAATCCACATATTCTAGAAGCTGCCAACAAATAAATACACAAATGTCAAGTTTGAAGTATCCAAGCTTCCACTTGATTTAAACTATGCCTCAAAGAAAATGTGTACTCACCCAGAAACACCCAGAAGATGCCCAACTCAATCTGAAGGTGATACTGATTTTTGCACGAATAAAACAGAGCAAATATGTCTTGTGTTGGCTTTGATGGTACCGATTTTGCCATTAAAATTGAAGCTAAAGGCAACTTTAAAAATAGTCCTAAATCACAGATTTTTTGCATGACGTGTGGTGGGTTTTTTACATTGTCTGCCTTTGTGTGTGTGCTTTCTAACATTTGCTCTCACTAATAATCAATGACAAAACTGTATGGAGATCAGCAGTGGGCATTCCAAAGCAGGAATGCAAAGAATGAAGCCATTCTTTATGCGTCTTATATGTTTGTCTTAAGTTTCTTCTCTCTCTTCACTGTTGATTTTTGGTTTTTGGTTTTTTTGAGGTAGAGGAGATGGCATAGAGCTAAAGTAGACTAAGTTCAGTACAATTCAGGGAACATTTATTAAGCAGCTACTCTGTGCAAGGCACTGTGCTAGGAAGATGAGGGAGATTCAGAGAATGTGACAGGCTCTGCCTTTGGAAAACTCACATTCTAGTGAAGGAAATGGCTATAATCTGTTCTAAAATACAAGGTAGATGGAAATAATGACAAAATAAGGTCTATGTTAAACTGTAAACACCCAGGAAAAGGAGCAGTTCATTCTGTCTGGATGAATCAGGGACGATTTCACAGGGAAGATAGCATTTGTGCTGATTCTTGAAGTTTAAAAGGTATTTAATAGATAAGTGGAGAAATGACCGTTCATTCCAAATAGAGGGAAATCTACTCCTGTCAATAAGATAAACCTTTGGTATTCATATACTGCATCTTTCTTCCAAAAAGCTCAGGTTGTTTTATCATTATTTGATTAATATAATCTGTTATCAGATTTCTAATTGGGGGAATCCCAAAGAATTGCCCCAAACATTTCCAAGCTAATGACGTGATAATCCATTTCAACAGTTTACAAAACACTTCCACATACATTCTCTTTCTAGCTTCATACCAAAGTGAGACTAGGAACTTCATTTTCCAGAACTCAAGACCTTTGCTCTGTCCACTGTGCTACTGTGTCTGTCTGTTAGAGTCAGTGTTTGCCAGAACACTTCCTAATCATCCTCTTCAGCATTGTGGTACTGGTTAGTTCCCTCAGCTGTCACTCTGAGGATGTTCTTCATCCCACCAAGTCTTTATTGTGCTAAGAGTGTACTGTAGCTTTGTCTGATTAACTTTTCTTCTCAAAAATGAAATCATTTTCTCCTGGGCCTGAATTGAAAGGCATGTGAGTAAAGGCTAGATTGGAGGTGACGTGGCCAATGAATGGACACTAGACACTTCCTTTTTTCCATCCATAGGAGAGCAGATGTGAAGGACCTGCACCAGGATGGTGGTTAGCAACAGTGGCCCGTGCCAAAGCACTTACCAAAGTGATGACTAAGGTTGGTCATGCCAAGTACTGTTACTGAGCCTGGTGTAGGGTACAGATGCCATCCACTACCAGAACTATAAAACCACCAATGCAAAAATTAAAGTTACATTTCCACTTTGCCTCCATGCTGGGCATAGCGACTGCTGCAAGGAGCTCACTACCTTGGCAGCTTTATCGTAGCTCTATTTCCAAGGACACCGGAGAGATTCATGCTCAAACATTTTCTTCCCATTGAATACCAACTGACTTAGTAGTATTCCTAGTGAGTGTGTGTGTGTGTGTGTGTGTGTGTGTGTGCATAAGGATTGTATTTGTGACAGATGTAGGTAAGGGGATTGGCAGTGGACCTGGAGGTCATAAGAGTTTGAAAATAATCTGAACCCTATAAATCCCATCATGTCTAGCTAGTACAGTGCCTTGTACCCTGTGGTTCCTCTAGTGTGTGATGATGAAATAATGAGCACAGCTGATCCCCACATCTATAGGCCAGTTTTTTGCTCTATAAAATAGCCTACATGGTTTAAGACTTTATACCTTTGTCAGTTCCATTTCTTGGCCAGATATGATAAAATTCAAGGCTGGAAAGGAATTCCATAAAGGTACTTTGGCCCATGACTGACTCATTTAAATATTGGGGCACATAATTTCTTTAAAGTGATCATTGTAATATATGTCATAAGCATTAAGGCCTGAGGCATGAGATTAAAAATGTTCAATGAAGCTTTCTATGTGAGAGCAGAGGTGAAAGAGGGGATGAAATTTGCCTCCCTTTCCACCTCCTCTTTCCTTCTTTGAATTGGAAAAAAAGCCCCCGCAACTTAAGTGGGAGATTAGAATGGGGACTGTGTGGTTAAGCAACTCCAGTGGGTCTCATACAATTGCGTTCGCCTTAGCTACAGCATACAGCTCATGTATAATAACGCAGCCTCCTCCAGAAGAAGGGAGAAAGGATTGATTGGCTTAAGCTTAAACTAACCAAAGGAAATAATATTTCAAGTTTCAGTTTTGTTTTGACTTTTCTAATCCCCTTTAGTTCCTTAATTGGAACCAGGCACTGATTAATCTTCTACTGCCATC